ATAGCTACTACAATAGTTGGGCAACCCCCCCTAGTGGTGCTATAACCCAAAAGGGTTGTTACAGCTGCAAGCAATTTCTTTTGCACTGCACTTACATTTGGCCTGAGCATCTATTCCCACAACAATCCGCACAAGTTGTCTGACGTGATCTGTTCTTGTGCATAACAACAGTTACAGCTTGAACAGAAAACAGCTCTAAATAAAACCAAAACTGTGCTTCGTACACTTTTCGGTGCAAGCGCTAATTTGTTCCACCGTTATTACAAACACATTTATAGGGTCTCCATCCACACTGTTGTTTCGACTCTCAAAGGTGGGCAGATGTGCCGCTCACAGTTTCCAAAGCGCTGTCTCTGATTGCAAAGCGGTTGTTTGCGTGAATTAGAGTTACAGGAGAAAGTCAGTCAAACTGACTGGGAAGCCGAGTGCTTTTAACCTCTGTGACATCACCGGGGCCATTTAGTAACTCGCAACCATGGAGGGCCCCAAATTTCCGCCCAAACTACGTATAAGTACCCATAATGTAAAACTGTAGCTTAATGTTTTATAAACAGAGCCATGTGTCTGATATAAAACCTACTTATAAACAGCAGTCTGTGTTACACGCTTTCGCTTTGGCAGGTGAAACTGATTAGCAAAGGCTCCCTTAATTCTGTGTTTCTCCCTCTGTCTGTGGGCTCCCCCGCCCTAAATGAAAGGTTGGTTTTAATAGGGACCATGCTGGAAAGAGTTGATGTAATTGAGGGAGTTGCTTCTGAAGTGTTCCATTAAAATACACTTACATTAACAGCCTCCCAATTTAGTTAAAGGGAGGGGTGATTAATGTTAATAAAGGCACCTCAGAGCTGGAAAAGTGGCAGAGAAGTGCATTTGAGGTGAGAGCTGGCAACAGGGGAAGGAAGTATAAACATGTTTTGTTTAGCCAAGTCATCAAATGAACATTAGACTTTCCTATGTATCTAGTTTAGAGTGAGGAAAGACCTGAGCTGTGTGCTGTCTATTGTTACCAGGCGAGCGTGCAGGCAGCGAGGTTAATGGCCTCACAGCTCCGCCGCCGTGTGTCTGAGTGTGCTGACAAGCTTCCCTGTGGCGTCAAGCAGTTTGTTTCTCTGACGTTATTTGACCGTTGGGGAAAACAAATGCAGCAGATAAATGGCCGCACCTACGCCAGGACCAAAATACTACTGATATCATTTTTAAGAAACCAAAATAACCGTCATGCATATTTCTGGCTTTTCAGGCATCCTGTGTTGATGTTGGCCCGATGCTGCAAAAACACCTCAGATCATGATGATCATTGTCATTCAGCTGAACCGGGAAAACATTTTTCTAATCTAGACTAGACTCATTATGGACATATTAGGATAAAGATTGTATTTCTGTTTAATTCCAGACAGAATTTTTAATCTGTGGCTTACTGCATATTTTTCTAAGCAGATGACTGTAGAAATAAAAAAGCTAAACTAAACATTAGGGTTGGGGCAGAGCTGCTACTACTGTTTTGATGAAACTGTCTCTTTGTTCTGATTGTTCTCCTTGCATTTCGTTTGCTTTTTATTGAAAAGCAACTTTGGAAGTCACAAAATCCAGAAAAAAGCAGCTGTTTACATGTTCTAGTTGCTCCTACTTAAGTACCAGATTGTCTGTTTGTACTAAACTATCAAGGAAATTGCACCTGCATACTTTCTATTAAGCAGTGCTTCAGTATTACTGTATAGGGGAAACAGCGCTCACCCCTATTGAAAACAACGTGTTCCTTTTGTAAACATCGGTTCCCAGTGGAGTCAAAAAGAGGACTAAAGCACCATATGCTTTTGGGTAGGCCTGCCTTGTAATTAGTAAGTCAATACCGTACAAGAGTGCAGTTTTCCTTGGTTTCACAGTCAGATTTATCTCTCGCTCATCACGTTAGGTTTCAAAACATCAAGACAGCAACTGCAAAAATGCTGCTGGGCTTCGACGTCGGACTTTACTAACCAATTAGTGGCATCGCGGTGGCTACATTCAGTTCTTGGTGCCACATTTGATGGAAATGAAAATAGTAATCAATAGTCAAAGTGAAAAAATGATGCAGCAGCCTAGTCAATTTTGCTGAAATTTCATTAGAGCAATTCAAAATGGTAATCAGTTAGCCTGACAATACTGGGGCATGCTTCTAATTAGACAGTGCATGGTGTCCCGAGGGATCTCCTACCAGATGTTGACCAGGGCATCACAGACCTCTTTGACAGTCCGAGGTGCAGCCTGGTGGCATCGGATAGACTAAACCATAATGTCCCAGTGGTACGAGCGTGGGAGCCAGTCAGTAGTATCAATTCCTTCTTCCTGGGAACTGCCTGAATACAAAGCCAGGCATTGTTGTGCTCCAGGAGGAACCCAGGACCCACTGCACCGGTGTAGGATTTGACAGTGGATCCTGGAACCTAATGGCAGTCTTGGTGTCGTTGCCTAGCCTGTAGAGGTCTGTGTGTCCCTCCACGGATTTACCTCCTCCAGACTATGCCGGGCAAGGAGCTCAGGGCCCACTAAAGGACATCAGGCGCTCAGGCCACCCTCAAGAAGTCTGTTTCTGATTGTTTGGCCAGAGACATTCACACCAGTGTCCTGCTAGGGGTCATTTTGTAGCTCTGGCAGTGCTCATCCTCTTCCTCATTGCACAAAGGAGCAGATACCATCCTGCTGATGGGTTAAAGACCTTAGAGTAGAGTACCCTAGAGTAACTGCCTGTCTCCTGGAGTCTCCCCCATGGTCTTGAGACTGTGCTGGGAAAAACATAAAACCTTTTGGCAATGGCATGTGTTGGACTACCTGGACAAATTGCAATCTGTGAAACCTCTGCAGGGTCCAAGTATCGCCTCATGCTAACAGTAGTGGCGTTGCCCCTAACCAAATGCAAAACTAGC